AGAGAGAGAGAGAGAGAGAGAGAGAGAGAGAGAGAGAGAGAGAGAGATCGAAAGAAAGAAGAGGCTTGAAAAAAAAAGATGAACCGCACGATAAATAAAGAAAACTCTTTGCGAACCTGTCCCCACCACTACCAGCACCAATATCGCCGAGACCTTCGCCACCATCGGCTTCGGAAGATGAGCCACGCGATAAAACTGCTCGTATTTCACCCGGCAGCACTTCTTCACTGCGATGCACTGTAAACGAACTCTTGCCCTTTTTTCCAAAGCCCATACGTCTTTTACGACCTTTTATTTCATCATACAATTTTTTGTATATCTTTTATTTATTCATAAATTATTGCATTCTTTTTAAAATAACTTTGGATTGAATAATTAAATTTGAAAATGAAAACTTTTTTCTTATGAACTTCTAAATAGGAGCCAAAATCAAAGTAAATACAAAATACACAAAATTTGTGGTCTAGGTTTTTTTTTTTTACGATGATATTTTCGAAACTCTCTTTTATGATTCAAAATTGTTTCAAAACCAAAACAAAAATCAAGAAAAAATTTTCTGTTTTTAATAACTTGCTTAGAAAACTTACCGGTGGCAGAAAGCTGGGATGTAGAATTGGACTTTTTACCCATTCCACTGCCACTTTTGGGTGAGCGTTCTTGGTCCACATTACCTTTTTTCCGGTCAGTAGCAGTATCGGAAAGGCTGCCATCTAACATACGATAAGAATGGGATAAAAAAACAAAAAGCAAAGAGGTAATGTATATATCCACAAGAGAGTTTTCTCTGCCCATTCTTCACTCTTCTTGCTTCTTTAGCGCTTACCGATTTTATCGTCCCCTTCTTCTTTCTTATCAGCGCCGCCACCATCACCACCATCTGTTTTAGTATCTTTTGCGTCATATTCACTGAAATCATCGTCCAGCATGGCATCGATTGCGTCCCAATCGATAACGTCAAGTTGTGCATCGCCATCGCCATCAGCAGCAGCAGCATCGGTTGTCGATGGATCAACAGCCATTGATTGCGATGTGTCAGTTATTGATGTTTTTGTTGCAACATTCGTCGATGAAGATGTCGTGGTTGTTGTTGTAGTTGTTGTTGTGAGATTTGTGGTTTGTATGATTGTACCGTCAACGTCGTTGTTTGTTGTTGTTGTTGTATTATTATGATGTTTCAATGAGGCACGTTTATTGGGTGATGTGGAGTTAGCCATGACACCATGATGATGGGAATTTGCAAAAGAGGAAGAAGAAGCAGCATTATTAGCATTATTACTACCCGAGACGATATTACAAGCAGTGGCCGTAGTGGCTGTTGTAGCGGCAGTAGCGTTACTACCGCCGCCACCACTTCCACCACTCCCACTACTAGATTTCGTCTGTTGTTCATGTACTAGAACTTCTTTCCCTCTTTGCCTGACACTACTACCACTACCTGGCATAGCACTACTTGCTGTTGCTATTGTGTTATATTGGCGTTGCTGTGTATTGTTGTGTGAAGAGGCGCCGCGATCGCCGTAATCATCGTACTCGAAATATTCAGGCTGATCATTGATGCTGACGAGATTACTGCGATCACTGCCTGATTCGTGTTGTAGTTGTTCGATACGTGTACGGCCTCGTTTGGCGGCCTGTAGTGCCTGTCGTCCTTGCTGTTCTCCGACGGGGCCTTGGCGTTCGGCGGCTGCATGGCCATTCATCATGGAACCAGGCCCACCATGTGATAATGCTACGTTCGTATGTGGATCAGATCCCGTCATGGTTGCGTCATCGTCATATGGCATGCGAGAACCCGGTTCCATGGGGGAAAAATTATGGGCATTTTGTGCGCTAGGGGGATGTGGCAGATTTCGTCTTCGTTTCTGATAGGGCATAGCTGAACCATATAATCGGTCGTGAGTAGATCGATCCAATTCTAAGGACATGTGATTTCTTTCACGCCCATCAAAGCGTCGGCGAGGCTCACGAAATTGTGACGGAGCCACACCACGCCTCGTCCAACCTACATCTGAATCATACGTGATCGTAACGATCTTATCATCCGTTACCAGAAAATGGGAATGACTAAGAGGATTAGCGGCGTCCACATTAGCACCCATATAGGATTGGCGAATATTGGTTTCAGAACCGTAACGTCTAGAAAGATCTTCGTCAAATTGGGCAGGATAAACTTCGTCTTCATAGCGTATACGCCGCCTGCCCCAGCTTTTAGCGTGCAAATCATCATAGTCTAAGGAGCGAGATTGACCTTCTTGAAAGTATTTCCGTCGGTCTAAAGACGTACGGCCCGTTGATATCCCCACTTTTGGTTTTTTTAAAATTGATGGCGGCTGAGACTTCGACTCAGCTATGGGTACAGCTGCTACTAAAGCATCCTCGCTGAGTTGGCGAGATAGTCGTAATACCGATTGGTAGGGCAGTTGAGGTGGAGGAGCCAAGGACGCTTTGGCTTTCTTGTGCGCAGTTGGTGTAGGTGTGTGTACATGGTAAGTGGGCACAGCACCTAAGTCAAGTTGAGGTGCTGTCATACCGCTGACAAAGTGCTGATCCACACATTCACCGCATATTACCGGATCCGTGGTGGGCAGTGTAGGTTCCGATGATGAAGGTTGAAACACGGACAGCGATGGTCTTTGCAATAATTGTTCTGCTGTGTACGGATAAGCAACGGGGTGATGCTGCGGATGTGGATGGGCTTCTGTTAAGCAATAAGGGTCACCACATGCCCCAATTGTTAGCCCAGACGAAGCGAGCACAGCATTGGTTGACAGTACAACTGGTTGGCTGCCATTTTGACAATGACTGCATGTGTTGTCGTAGTGATCACGTATGTAACCCACATAAGACGAGGGCGACGAGGACACGGTGTGTGCGTGCGGATGAGTGTCAGCAGCTATTGATAAACTGGGGCTAGGCTGCTGGCGAAAAAAGTTTGCCAAGGGTGTGGTGAGTCGCTTTAGGCCACGTATTGGGCCTCCGACCCCGCCATCAGCTTCTATGCCAGCGTTTAAAACACTATCGGAAGGAAAACCTGAGTCGGAGGGGAAATGCGTGAAATCGGCAGCATGCATTTGGTACTCGGGGAACTGTATGGTGGGTATATGTTGAAGTGGACGTGGATTGAATGAATGTGACTGAGTTGTGAGCTGTAGCTGTGTATGTGGGTCTTGTGTAAGTCGATTATGCATTGGATTGCCGTTACTGGCATTGCTGCTGTCCATCAACATAAGATTTGGATTTCCCGAAGAATCCAGGAAGTACTGCTCAACTATTTCTTCGTTATTGTCAGTAGCCAGTGTTGGCAGTTGTGGCTGTGGTTGAAGTGTTGTGGCTAATTGTACACTTGTTGCCGTATTCGGTGGTGATTCATTGGCGGCCAATTCGGCTAAACGTTGTAAGTGTTCCAGTTGCTCTAACAATTGCATTTGCTGTGTAGCTGTTGTCGTTGGCTTTGTTTGAAGGTGTGAAGGCATTAAACTAATAGGTACTGTATAGTCGGTCGGTAAATAGGTACAATCATCTACTTCAATAGTGTTCGAACGAAAGTGTTTCAAAAATCCACGTCTAATGCCGCCATCGTCGCCGCCCATACCATGCATACCTGCTGAGCCAGCGGTTAAACTGTTGGCCCCGAAGTAGGAACGCCAATTACGTGGTAAGCTACTGTTATTTTCAACGTTTTTGTTTTTTTTTTTTTTTTTTTTGTGTTAAAGAAGTTTAGAACATTGTTTTAAGTGTTGCGTGTCACATATGAATGGGATAAGATTAGCATTTCGTGATTTTTTTTTTATTAGTGAGTTGGATTGGTTAGCGAAATGATTTTGAATTTAAATCAACAAACAACATTTATAAATAAATAAAAAAAAAAAGAAATGTTAACAGTTTAAAAATAAATTAAGCAAACCAAGTAAAATTCAATGACGTCCCAAAGTAATTATGCAGTGTGCGATAGAGTCGTTAATTAATAGTCGTTGTTATGTGTGCGCATATCATAGTGGAAAGCATTTGGAAAACAAAAGAGATATTTGTTGCATGGTTGAGAGAAGCATAAGTATATTTTGTAGATGTGTACCCAGTTGGAGATTTTCGGTACGTTTATTATTATTGTTGTTGATTAAAAATTAAAAAAAATTATATAAAATGTGTGCGCATATGTAAATGATCAAAATAACATAACTTGAAAAAGGACATGTTTTTGTTGTATATATATTATGTGTTTTTTTTTTTTTTTTTGTATATTAATTTCAAGAGCAAGTCGCCACAAACTCCATTTTAGATTTTGCTAATGCCAGATTATGATTTTAAACAAAATATAAATTAGTTCATTTTTCTTGTATTTTTCCAAAATTAAATTTTCGAAACTAAATTAAAAGTATTATATATAGAGGTCAGGCCAAAAGGCCAGCCTCGATGGTAAAGGGATTTTCGTCAGACTGCTAAGGTTTGACCGCGCGAAGAGGAAATTATAGAGCCTGATTATACCCGAGAAGCTCTTGCGTCTTTTACGCAAGAGTATGCACTACAACAAAAGCTTTTAGGAAAGAATTGTGTTTATAAAAAATGACGGGCTTTTTAGTTATGTTGCATGTGTAACATGTTTCTTTGTCGGTGGTGTTTTTCTGAATATCGCTGATAGCCGCTTACTCACCTCAGACCGCGAGATCCCCGTGGTCGTTCCGATTGTGTTGAAAAAGCACTCGATGTTACACTAACTACAGATTCCATATCGGAATCACCAAATTCTCCCATGAAATCTTTGTCGGGGGATAGGGAGTGCCGTGGACGCATACGAGTCTCCATTGAGTGCAAATCACTATCTGAGAGGCCTGTATAGTGGCGTTCCCAGCCACCCATTCCGGTACTACGATAAGTTGCTTGATGATGAGGTTGCCGAGTTCGATGTCTACCAAAACGTCCACTCGTAGTACCTGTAGTAAGACGTTCGTCAAGCTCTTGGCCGAAACGATCGCGGAACATTGCACGTGAGCTTTGGGGTACCTACAAGTGCATAAAACAAAATTTGGTACGTAGGCCATAACAGATATACAATAATTAATAATAAACGAAAGACCTGTGGCAATTGTCGCTTTTTTGGTGAACCAGTCGGTGTGGCAGTCGCTGAACGTGATTGAAAACGTTGCTGTTGAGCTGTCGTGGACGATCCGACTACACCGCAATATGCCGGGACGGTACTACATGTACCGTAGGGCGAAAGGCCCGTATAATCGATATAACGATCTTCAGGTGGTGATAACGAACCACGTCTCGGACTGGTACTGCGATAATATATACCACCGCTGTGATATGAGTCAGTTGGTGCAGCTGAATGGCTTCGCTGACTTATGCTCATACCACCAGGTCCAGTAGTGGGTAGGCCATTACGACGATAACAGCCAGCTTGTGCGCCAGAAGCCTAAATATTATTCGCAATGAAATAAGTATTAAAAACTTGAAAACTAAACTCTTCAAAGTTTCTTTGAGATAAATTGCCAGATATAGATAATTTAATAAAAATAATTGCGATTCTACGTAAAAAGTATACAACATATATAATTGCATGGAAAATTTTTAATTCGAAGGGATTAAGTCAATAAGATGAAAATTTTCACTTTTTAATTAAATTCGAAATTCAGTTAAAATTCTTTAATATAAGTTTGATAGCATTTCTTCAACAATAAAAGAGCAGTGAGTTATCAGGTGCAACACTTTTTGGAAATGGTGAAAATAGATAACTAAAAAGTTTATAGACAAATACCTATATTAGTGCAGATAACTGCGAATTCTGTAATTACAGAGGAAGATATTTTTTTTTTTGTTTAATTTAATTTCTGCTAAATTCGGTTTACTATTCATTAATAGTAGCGCACTAAAAGATTGAATAGATTAACCGATGGGTAAGTGAATCAATCGCTTTCCGATTTAAAACAGTTGCATTTCCTATATAAAATGTCGTGTAATATATATACATAAGTATGAAAGCAGCATATACGTAAGTATAGTAATTAATAAATCATAATATTAAAAGCTAATTAAATTGAAAAGTTTAACAAAGCGTAAGTAGTAGTATTCTTAACACATTTAAAATAAAGTACATATGAAGACGTGCTCGTTTCTCTAGATAATAGGGTGCTAGTCGAAGTGACAAAAAAAAAAAAAATAAATAAATAAATAACTAAATAAAATAAAAAACAGTGCTTAATTTGAAGGAAAACAGAGAAAGCTAAGCCGATAATTGGCTTTTCAAAAAATCCTATAGCTTTCCTTGTGTCTTCTCTTTATGGTTCTCTTTATATATATATATATATATATATATATATATATATAGCATGTGTTCTCCTTTGCTTAAAATCTTACATTATTTTCCTTATAAATTAAATTATTATTTGTTTGCTTTTGTTTTTTTTTTTTTTTTTATATAATAACTTCTTACACATTTACATAACAAAAGTACTAAAGGAAGTCGCTGTTGTAGAAGTCAAGTCTTATGGTTTATAGGTAGAAAGATAAAAGACAAGACAACATTACATTTTCCATGAATACAAATACAGAGAATACAAATATTAATCAATTCGTTATGATTAAGCAAATTTAAAAGTTATTCGCCTCATAAGTAATGACAATGAAAAACTTTTAAGTTTGCCTCCTTTTCTTTGTTTAAGCATAGGTACTAATTAAAGTTTCGATTTTGAGAGAAAAAATTCCACACAACGCCAATGCATAGAAACGAATTTAAGTGTGTGTCAGAGTATGCGAAGACCATATTCGTGGGGATTTTTGGCGATATTGTTCCTTCTTCTTTATCAATAACTTACAACTACTTGCAGTATCATTGCACCTTTAGCCCATTTGTTATATGTGCGTATGTTTAACACATCGCTCAATAAGTGCGTGGGATGATATATAGCGTCACTTAAACAACTAATTGCTCGGAATCCCGTGAATTTTTGATACATTTTTCTTTCGAAGGTTTACACTATCTAAAGATCATATGGATTCCTCAATGCTCATTCTACATCTGTATGTCATCCTACCAAGTTATTAATCGATGTTTTACGTAATAGATCAGAAATTTTAAATTTATATTATTTGATCAATTCCTCGCCAATTAATTGCCACGAAATGCCACGATATGTCATTTTGGTGAAAACTAATTTGCTATTAGTAGAAGCTCAGGGACGGTTCCCTCCCAAAAAGTAGCAAATTAATAAACTACATCATTGTTTAGAAGATTACTGCACTATGACATATGGCTTTGTGTATATATACGTATATAGTAGTAGCGGCAACGAGAAAGCAAAACATAAAAAGTAGAAGGGTTCTGAGGATATCTTGGAATATAAAACTAATGATTTCTCAAAAATTATTCTTGGAATGCATCACATTGCAGCGCATCCAGTAAATAAATATAAAAAAAAGAAAAATAAATCTTAAATATCTTTTATGCTCAGTAAGTCGATCCAAGCTGTCGTTCGTTGCTGACTGTTTCTCAAGTAAAGAGAAAATGCAAACCAATCAACGTTTCTTGAAAAGTGAAACGATGTTGGCTTTGATTTTTTTTGATTTTTTTTCAAGACGATATTCGCATGTGTAGCTGAGTAGGTCAAAATTATGACTACCAAGTCTATGTCCGCAGGTTCAAATCTCAGTGCGGTATAGTGGATGAACGCATAACCTTTACTGATTGTGCACACAACCTCTAGGTTGCGGCCGCATCCCTATTTCTATCTCTTTCCTCAGTGCTTTCCGATCGTCACCACATTATGCGAAAGAATATTAAAGTTATGTTTGGAAATTTGCCAAGTGATCAAATCCATGCCATTTTTCAAAACCCATACCCATACAATGGAACTTTTTTCAGATCGATTTTGCCACTAAACGAAGCATAAAATGTTCACTGTGATGCTTTAACAATCTTTCGTTTCACTCTATTTCCTTAGATGACTTGTGACTTTATAGTCTTGAAAAAAAATTCAATTTTAGATTAATATCTTTGAGAGCAAAACTAAAAATCTTTTATGTTACTTGTGCGTAAGAAACGAGCACGCGGGCTGCGCACTTTGTCGTTCCGTTCGTAAAACAGAGAGATACGTTCCAAAAATACCATAAGGTACATTGATATTTGACATTTGTTAGATTTGTAGTTGCTTTAGGCCAATCCCTCCAGGTGTTTCTCTTATGTTGCTCGAATTGAGAGCAAAAAGCTTGGATTTGGCGTATGTCGTTTATATCCTTTAGTTGATGGTCTAGGGTGTGGATTTGAAATTGGACTTGGCTTATTCTCCCGATAGCTGCGTCTTCTCTCAACGAAAACTACAATCAACAATTGGTGATAGATATTGATCCGAAGTTTCTCAATAAGAAAAGGACCATGATGCCTTTATAGAAGGCTTCACTGCAGATAAAAAACTACAGCCTATAGCCGATTAAAGATACACTTGTGCCTATGTTTGGTGCAAATATTACCTAGGGTCAAATGAGGTCCATTTCTGATTTTAAAACAACCTGAAACTATGGAATGCGGAATAAAATATTCAAAGACGTGATATTGATGTCCACGGTGGCCACAATCCGTTGTTGAGATGCGATGTTTTCATGATTATATGATTACATTTTCATACGCATGCCTCTATTCATCTTAGCAGGAGATACAAAAAGAGGGCGGGAAACGCAACAAAAGCAAGTATTTAAGTTTATTTCTTCGATCTTTCTCATGGATAACTGAGTGACTTCTGATTAATTTTAAATGCAAAATTTTTCCCCGTCAAAATCAGGAAATAAGTATGTGAATTGTGTGAAGTACATATTTATAATTTGTTCACAATATAAATATACCGACATCGTTTGATTTCCCCGATTTGCTCGTGAATATATTAAATTGAGGCTAATCTAAACAATGAGTGACTGTCTGCAGTCTAAGTAGACTTCGTCTAATTATTTGGTATATTTTTTGAGTAGGAGAAAGAACCTACGAGATATGACGTATCCTGATGTGGTTGCAATTTATACCATTCGGCTTCGTCGTCTAGTATATGATGAGCCAAATCAATGACGACTTCTCCAATAAAATCGTTGGCACCGTATCTTACGTAATCCCATAAAGTAACCTAACATAAGACATTTAAAAACGATTACAAGATTTAGTACACACAAACACGAGTGCTTCACCACCTCTAATAGACGGCCATTTAAATCACAACGCCTAAAACCGGTATAAATGAAAGTTTGACCCCAACGTGGTTCGCATGTATTTGCTAAGGTCTTAGTGCGTCTTTTTGATTTTGTACCACGATCGGGTAAAAGGAACACCTGCAAAATATTTCAGACTTTTAATGGAACCTTTAGCGGACTATAATGTTTACGTTACTTTAGCATAAGGATTTCTTGCGACACCACTTTGTCGTAGCGTCAACCCCGTAGCGCATACTATGGTTACAATCAGCTGTAATGTGTTCTGATCGTAACCCAATTTCATCTGGAGTGCGCCTTCTTTATGCAGAGGCATACGACCAACCATGGCCGCTGCACTATGAGCGGTAATTTGAGCGTTAGGCAATATTTGTGGTCCCAAACTTGTGCCATATGCATGCGCGTGCGATGACGATGATGCGGGTACTGTAGTCTCCGGATGATAATAGTGATAATGATTGTAATAGCCTGCCGTCGTTGTTGTTGCTGCTGTTTTTGTAAACGTTGATTGCGGTTGTGAGGACCCTCCAGCACTTTTATTATTAAAATAACCGTTGCTAGCGTTGCCGCAATCGCTAACGAGGATGTTCTTGGTGGTAGCGTTTTTATCAGAAATCTCTGATGTTTGTATTGGTCCCAGGCGCTGAACCTGTGCTGAAACTGTTGTAGCCGATGGTGTTGCTTGGGCTTTTTGATATTGTTTTTGTACATTCGTTGTCGATTCTTTTACGGTAAGTATGCTACCGCCGGCACCCACAATCGTACCATCACAAAAGTGAGCGTATAGGTCCGAGCAGTCCGGTGAAGTTATAAGCACACTTGGCTTATCACGTTCGTTAACGGAAGTGGCTAATGGAGTAGAAAAAAATTTAAAAATTTTTAAATTATTATTAAATATTTATTAATAAAAGGTAAATTCTTTTTTTAATAAAAAAATAATCTAATAAAGTCGAAATTGATATATGCGTATTACGCTTAGTTTAGTTTAGACACACATACACACACACACAGTTTAAAACTCTTTTAGAGCCTTCTTTCATAACGCTTTTAATAAGAAAATCTGAAGAATTCCCCTTTCCCCTGTACGCCCCTTAAAATAGTTATGGGTCAATTTAAAGAAAATTTTACGTTTTTGTTTTAATCGATCGGGTTGATTATAAGCGGATATGTATAAAAGCAAATAAATCTTTTGATAAGAAAGTACCTTTTTTCATTATATACGCACCACCACTGCTAACAACAGCACTGCTTGCCATATAGCTGGCTATAGTGCTTCTAGAAAGTTTATGTATACCATTGTCCCCCGTCGCTTGTCGTTGGTGGAGCTTAATCGTTCGGCCTACGACCAATTCGATTTGAGTTTCGTTATGGCTTTCGGTAATTATCTCATAAACCTCGTTGGCGCTTTTATTTTGCAGGCAATAGCCGTTCCATTTGATTATTTCGTCGCCTTTGATCGTATCAATTGAACGAAGCATATGTAAAACAAAAATTTAATAATATTTATTTATTTATTTTTATTTTTTTTTGCGTTTTTGCGATCGAAGTGAATATATTTGCTACGTTGTTTACCTGGTTTAATATGACCGTCAGTGTCGGCTACAGAACCACGTTTAACGGTGTCGACTATGGCAGCCAAAGTGCTGGAACCACTATCACTATTTATATTTACGGCTTGACCACCTAAAACCTTTAAGCCTAGCATATCTTCATCAAGGTAGTAATTGCGTAATATCATGTGACCAATCGTACGAGTTTTATCCGCCGATATTTGCCAATTGACTGAGTGCTGTTTAAGGATTTTTTGTTTGTTTTTTTTTTATTTTATTGCACGATGTCAAACGATAATGCGCAAATTTACAATATATTTTATTTTTTGTTATGTTTGTTTGTTGTTGTTGTTTTTGTGATTATATCAGGGTTAAGGTTTGATATATTTTTTTTTTTTGTTTTGTTAGGTAAGACAAAGTTAAAAGGAAAATGATCTTAGTTAGATGTTTGCTTTGGGCTTGAAACATATCATCATAAATAAGTTCGCTAATATTCACGTTCAACTTAAGGAAAAAAAAAAAAATTTACATAAATTTATATTGAAATTATTTGTTAAAGTACAGTTAATTACATACATTCTCAGTTTTATAGCAATGTCAGTCAGATATTTTGTTATTTTTTTTCTTTTTTTTTGTTGTAACTAAAGCACCTTAAATTATTTTAATTACAATGCGCTCTTACAAATAATGCAGAGTTTACAAACAATAGTTTATACATACATAAGTATTGACATACATTTCCTTTATAAATATTTTTATTAAGAGAACACATACAAAGAAGACTTTAATGATCTTTAGTAAGTAAACCTCAGATAAGTCGTATGACAAAAATAAAAAAAACAAAAAATGAAAATGAAAATGAAAAATAACAGAAAACCATGCTAAAAGGCAACGCAAAACGGGAAAAGCGTATCGTAAGAAAATTACATCGATTCAATGAATTATTCAAGCAGTGGAAGATAACTTTGCAGATAATTCAACTTAACTCAACTCAAAGTTAGGCTAACGGTAAACGGTAAACATACACTATAATCCTCTCGTTTTGAAACTATAATTTCCTGCTCATATTTGGAGGTAATGTGATGTAAGTGTGTCGCCTTTAATGTAAGCATGTTTAGCGCAATTCACAAGCTAAAGAACATGCAAGATTAGAACATGTGCATATACGTACACACACACATATACACGCGCATATACACACATAGTTATGTGTGTGCACGCTTAGATGAAATTGAAAGCATTGCATTAGAGTGCAGATAATGCAGATAATGGTGTTTTTTTTTGTTTGTTTATTTGTTTACTGAATATAACGTGTATTGCGAAAAGGAGAGATTATACAGATACAGGTATGAAAGTAAAACTGAAGACTGAAACTTTTGACCAATCTTTTGATCTTTTTGTTTTTTTTTTTTTGTTTTTTTGTTAACAGCGCATAACAAATGACGACGGCGAGGAGGGACATGAACAGACCGCGCTAAGATTATCATTAGCAACACATAAAGTTTACGAACCAGAATACACATACAGAGAAAGAGGCAGAGAGAGACAGTAAGAAATGGAGATAGGAAAAGAGAGAGAGAGAGAGAGAGAGAGAGAGAGCGAGAGAAAAAGAGTTAGGAAGAGAGAGACAGAGAGCGAGAGAGCGAGAGAGCGAGAGAGCGAGAAATACATAGAAGCGATGAATTTTCGTTTTTCGATTACATTTTGGTTTTTTTACATTTTTTCTACCTTGGGACCGTCACAACGATTTGATTCTTCGCTACTCGTAAATGTACTGCTAGTTTCAATGCCCGAATCTTTTGTAGCTGAGTCCTGACTACCCTGGCGTTCATTATCCCAGTGGGAAGACCAATTGGCTGTGCTGTTGCTATCGATTGCTATTATGCTATTAATGTTGGCAGTGTGATTGGCTCCTAATTTGGCGCTGGTCAATATTGTAGCTGCCCCTACTTCGACAGCTGTGGAAGGTAGTATAGTAGCAACAGGCGGAAGCGTGCCAATGCCCGTTACCAGAGTATCATCGGCTTCTTCACTGGAATCGAAACGCACCGTCTTCTTTATTCTACGCTCTGTAAAACGTCGCGAATCTTGGGCTTTAGATTCTGTTGGGACGGTCGCCGAAAACAATGCATCCGGCCAATAGGGCTCGGCCAAACTGCGTTCGCGGCTTAGGCTTCGTACAGATGCAGGGTCTGCGCCTCCTCCCCTAGCACCCGTCGCATAGCGTCCGTATACTGTTTTAGCTGCCTTAGTGGATGAATTTATGTTACCGATCGTAAATGGTGGTTGCTTGTGTTGCTGCCTATGTAAGTACGTGCCACTGCTATCAGTTAACGGTAACGGTGTCGTAGTCAAGCCAGATGAAACATGATGACTACCGGAGTATGAACCCGTCAAATTAGTTCCAGTACTTCCTGCTACGCTAAGATCTATGTGCCGATCGTGATTGGTGCGGTTGAATGAGTTACGCTGTTGTACATCCAAGCGCGCCGTTCGTGTTAACGGATATTTTTCCAGTTTATTTCTTTGCGCATCATAGCGATCACGATCAGCCGATGAATACAAACGGTTGTTATAGACTAAACGATAATCTGCTCCCATAGAGGTTCTGTATGAACTACTAGACAGATCACGTTCATTCAGGCTACGTTGCTGATGCCATGGTTCTCGTAAAGTGACTGCAAGATTTCAATTTATTGTTGAAAGAGAGATAAAGAGAGAGAGAGAGAGAGAGAGAGAGTGAAAGAGTGACAGAGTGACAGAGTGAGAGAAAGAGAGAGAGATCATTGTGTCGTGTTTGCAAAATAATGGTTCGTTTGTATTTATGTACAAAATAGACGGATACACACACATATCTCAAGTAGGTCTTTTAAATTTTAGGTTTTCCTTTAGGCGGGTGCGTTTTTTTTGCAAAATGTATTTGTGTTGGAAATATTTTATTTTTTTTTAATGACAAAACTTCACAAGAAAATTAGTTTTTTGTTTTCGTTCGAGTCCGTGGTGAATGCATTCACTGAGGGCTGCCCGAGCATTGCAATAATTTTTTTCGTTATGTTTCGTGTTCCTGTGATGGAAAGGGTTGTAACTTAACCGCAAAGCTCTGATGTTTCAATGAGAAAGCTTTCATTTCAGCAAAAAAATAAATTAATTTATATAAAAAACTAAGTTATTTATACGGATGTTAGGTTTTCATTAACTAACAGCGGGAAACATTAATATTTCTAGTAAAGAAATAATTTTAATAAAACGTAGAATTAAATATACAACTCAAATAAAACAATTTTTGAAGACCATTACGTAATTGACTCAGAAATGCTCAGAATATCGTCTCTTTTTTTCCAACCACATCAAGCCACGCACCATTGAAGGGAAGCGTGGCACGCAGAAGGACTTGAAACGGACCCACCTTCTGTTCGATCAGGCAGTTCAGAGTTAATTTCTGAATCCACTTATGCATGTCCGTCCGTCTATCTATCCGAGACTTGGCTGGATGCGTTTATGTTCACTCTATGCAATGGAATTTGATTCACTCATTTATTTCGTGTTAAAAACAAACTCAATTAAAAACGGTTTGGATCCGATGCGATATAACGACAAATTAAGTAAAAGATACTGTTATGGCACACTAAATGAATGTGAAAAACTTAGTTGGGATCTGCTTATTTCCTAAACACCCCCGCATCTAAGCGTTCTTACAAAAATATAAATCCTTAATAGGCATCGCTGCCTATTATGTATGATAGCATTTTATGATGAAAATTAAAATCGAATATCAATTTGACATACAAGGCCATTATATGGACAATACGGGTGTATTTTTCTGACCCCCTGTACCTGTAGAAGGGTTCTTTTTAAGCTAATAAAAACGGCTTTATGATGTTTGGTCAGCTAATTGATTAAAAATCGTTTGAAAAAAAAGTCAATAAATTTATAAATTAATTAACTGATATTGGATCAGGTCGGTTCACGTTTTTAACGTTTAATACTTTCAATAAAGCTTTTTTTTCTCAACATTTTATGAAATCCTCAGAATATACAAAAATTTCAACTTTTTATTCAACTTTAAGGCAGGAAATGTGTCATCATCACCATTCAGAAAACAAAAGTGATTAACCACGCGAACCACTCGCATCCATTATTTACATACGTGTCTTGGTGACTCACTCGCTAGCGAAGAATTTGTTCTTAATTACAACGGTCGCGTATCTTTACGCAGAGGCTCTATATCATTCTGTTAAATAGGTCCCTGCAAGTTTATAACGTTAACATATAAGTTGCTGAAGTAGCGAATGTGATCAAGAAAATTCATAAATAAATCTGGTATTTGGAACACATTCCTTATATAAGGAAAAATGTCAGGTTGGGTGAACCCTTTGAGCCCATAGGAAGCATATCAAACAAACACTTAATTGAACATTTTTTTTCACTAATGTTTTTTTAAATTCAAAACTGTTCAAAGTATATATGCAAAGGCAATAAATCGTTACATGTTTCTCGACCACATTATTTCTAGGCTTTAAATGAAATGAAATCGACTTTGCGGAAAAATGAGTTTGCGTTGTAATAGTAAAACTTTCCTATTTTATAAATAAATTTTATTTGTTTAAAAAAAGAATAAAAAAAATAGCAAATCTCGTATTTGCTCCTCCTTTTTTTCATAAAATAAGAAAATATTTTAAAAATATTTGAATTTAGAGAATGGAAATCTGTTAAGATTGTGTGTATTGTAAATGTGTGTAATTATGAGCGGCTGTGCAGTTGCGTGCGTTTAGGTAACTTAGAGGTAGTAGAGACTGTTAAAAATTTTGAAAAATTCTTCTACACATTTTCATTAAATTAAGAAAACAAAAAAAAAAAAAAAAAAAAAAAAAAAAAAACGTTACTTTACGTTTACGCACATCGAAACCATGCAAATATTTCACACTTCCATTAACAATCTTCTCAATCTATATCCATAAGTATTCCACGCCGCTTGATTTGCAATTCACTTAAGAACTTTGCAGAAAGTGGAAAAAGCAAATGAACATAAAGTGAGAAATTTTTGTGATATGGCTGCGTGCATAGAGAGACAGTAATGGCGGCTTATGCCTTAAAATTAAAATCGCCGTTCACATGTAAACTAGAGAATGAAAGGAGCGAAACAACATTTCAAGTACAGTGAAACACATTCTGTTCTTTAAAAATAAAATGAACAGAGTTTACATGTTACAAAAAAAAAAAAAAAAAAAAAAAAAATTATCAAATTGTTCTTTTTCTTAAATTTAAAAAATCGAGAATATGTATTAAGAAAATGTTGTGCCTGTTATCAAAATTAACATAAAGAAAAAAATTAAAAATAATAATGCATCCAAACATTCCAACAGTTTCGTGTAAACACAATATTTAGAAAAAAAAACAAAAATAAAAAAATAAATTTAAAAAAAGTATATATTAGAGTTCTATTGCTTACATTTGCATGAATTTGCAAGTCGCCAGTTGAAAGTATAGTTTTTATGTCACCACCACTACTACCATCAATACCGGCAGCACTACTGCCAGCGATAGTGCTCATAACAGTTATAGCACTTGCACCGAATTCACCGGTCGCTGCTATATATATATATGTACATATACATAATTGTATACGAATATATATATATATATATATATATATATATAAATATCACATATTTACACAAAGATAACGCATACATGTCAAAAAGTTGATGATTTTATTGTTTTAGTAGAGGTTTTTTTTTTTTTTTTTTTTTTAAGAAAAAAAAAAAAAAATAAAATGAAATAACAATATATATATATATATATATATATATATGTAAGTATATATATAAAGAAATTGTATAAAGAAAAATAAATAAAAATAAATTTTTGTCAATTATGGTTTTCCTGCTTCAGTGGTACTTCAGTAATTTTTGAAAAGCAAATATAATGGAATTCAGAAATAGGAAGAAGTAGAAATAGGGATAGCATCACCATCAAGCGAATTTCGAAGACTTAAGCATAAAACTTGTCGGAATTACAATAAAGGTTTAAAATTCGGCATCTTGACCTCACGGTTGAGATTTCACAAAATTAAATTCAATTAATCGCGGAATAGAGAAAAGAAAAAACTTGAAGAGCTTAACAAACAAGTGAAAACCCTATAGCTGGCCACGGTCTAACCTACACCAGTGCGCTTAATATACCAAAATGTTTACATTTAAAGGCATACTTTTCGTGAAACACCTTATATTGAAGGGCGGCCAAAACGTCACCTGACGTGACCCAAATTTATCTTAAAATGTTCACCTATCTGATCCAAATTTTTCACGTCAATTTAGAATGGCTTCATACTGTTGCTCAGCGAGTTTTGTCGAAAAAGTTTGCAAATTGTAATCGTTTCCCATAAGATCACTTTTTTCAGAACAAGGCTTTATATGGGGAGTAGCCGAAACAGTGAACCGATCCAAACCAATTTCAATAGCCTCAGAGTACCATATTTCACAAAAATATCTCAAAAATTGCCTAACCTATAGGTTAGACATTAAACGGAAAGACGAGTAGACATAAGTTTTACTAATAAAAAGCGGGTCTACTTCGTGTCATTTCTGGTGTTACAAGCTCCTTGTATATCTTTGTTTTACAAATGGTCTAGAAATTGAATTGAATTCTTCTTTAAGAATTTTCCTCCGGATCAGGTGTAAATATTAAAATTTTGCAAACATGTGTATATAAAAACAAAAATATATATAAAGAAAACTGTCAATCGGTCTATTGACTCACCATTAATTCATAAATATTTTATATGTTTTAGGGTTATGTTGAATTTTGTTTTTTTTTTTTTCCCTCGTCTAAATTTCTATCTACCTATCTTTATCTAGATTATCTACATTGATAGAGTTCATATAAACGCCATAATAGTTAAAGCTTACGATTTTTTGAATACAATAGATGTTGAAGTATGACTACCAAGATGTCTGCCTTACTGGGAGATTAGCTTGCGTATCATTTCGAATACGAGTACAATAGATCTTTCAGGTCGCGGTACAGATTGCAAGCACGGTAATGACACTCAATTAACATCGCAGTGATTCGAAAACTCCAGGATCTGGTCTACTGCTTTCTCTACTATTTTCAAGAAAGTTTTTTAAAGAAAAATGTCAAAGTATTTCGACGTAAGCGTTCACTTCACTACGTGAAATAAGCATCAGTCGAAACAATAAATAAGAAGCCATACGAATAATCATTTAATTAAGAACATGTACAACAATAATAAAAAACAAAAACTTTAATAAATTTAATTTAGTTTTTTTTAATTTTTTTTTTTTTTTTAAGTCGTAAGGAAATCGTTTGCAAACAAACTAACAGCGTAAGCAAGAATTCTTCGAAACTTTATTATTATTTTAACAAACACTTTGTTCGGCTCTTGTATCAAAAAAGGCATTTGTAAGATATGATTGCAATTATTTTTCAGATAATTATAAGAAAACGACAAAGCTTTTTCAAATTTGCTTCAGCCACTCCCAAGAGGCTGTTCTAGCGACAATAAGAGGAATGGCTCTGAGATAGGATATATCAATGTTATTTCGTTGAAGGAAACCACAGCAGCAGTAGGGGGTAACGAATGGATCAATAAGTTCTGGGACTAAGTAACAAAAAAGGAAATTTTTTTTCCGCCAAACTCGATTTCATTCATCAATAGAGTCTCTATAACATTCTCGTGTCTTCTTTTTCCAATCGTTTGTCAATGTATCGTTTGGAATGTACTTCAGTTATCGCTATGAGTCCCCCATTTGGTCTTTTTCCGTGGAGCATCGTCTTGACCATAGCGGAAATGTAATAGCTCCTTGCGGGCCAGAACCCGGGAATGCTGCGTTTAGGGCAGAAATTCATGCAGCTTTGCTATCATCTCGCCTCAGTAAAGACTCGATATTGTTGTCCCACAGTAAGCAAAAGCTTTACCCTTTCGGGAAAAATTGTTTTTTTTTTTTGATAGCCACTTTTTCTATAAGATGATGTTTTCCACACTCAACTCAAATGGCTTAAGAAGTATCTCTAGGACTTATTTGATATGTCAAATTCTTACTGCGGATTATTCTACATTCCATTTATGAAGGCATTTCCGTAAAAGTGAACTAACAATGTTTCTATTGCTCTCTTTCAATTTGTTATTACTTTTAGAGGATTCTATATACCGAGATATGAACTTATTTAATTTGTGTCAATTCTACAATTCTTATAGGACGGTTTCTATAAAATGTTCGCATAAAACTCCCGAATTCCCCTATCTCTCTGAATGCAGACACGATCCATGAGTTGAAATAATTTTGAGTTTTATATAACACGGTTTCTTATAAGACGATGGTCATGTTATAAAACACTGGAGTGTAGCTTCAGCAAGCCAGCTATCTCTTGGAACCGCACTAAAAATTTTCAGGATTCTTATGAGGTTTTCTGGTGTAATCATCTCTTTTCACCGTTCACTGCATTCTGCGACATCAAATTTTGCAACATCCTATTTAAACTTAGCAAACCATATATAAAATTGTTTTTTCTCAACGGAGAACGCCATAACCTCACTCAAGCCAATGCTCAGCTTAAACAGTATTTTTTCTTTACAAAAATCAATGTTTAATTGACATAAGGAAGTTGGATGTTTCTATTCTATATATAATAATAAAGAAGAATATTATAGCAGGGCATGGCCGACCTGTAGATATTCTACACCACTTCGCCTGCTACACTAGCTCACTCGTTTTGGTGATAATACATCAAAGTTACGTATTACTTTTATGCTAAGGCATACTTTCCATCAATGATGGAAAGGCTTTTCAACTTATCACATAACGTGACCCGAATTGATCAAAATTAAGTTGCTTCCTAAAAATGTCATTATTTTTTGGTTTTCGTCTTAAAAATTGGATATTAGACATCCTCACCATATAAGGACTTGCCTTTCACGAGAGGCTCTATATTTGTTGGAATCGAAAAAACAGACCTAAATTCTCTACCGACCAATTTTTATCATAAAATATTAAAACTTAAGCATTTTTTGAAGGACTTACGATTCACGACAAATCTTCTACGAATTTTGATCCACTTAATGAAATTAATGTCATGCGAAAACTTTCATCATAAAACATACACAATAGGCCTTTTTAGCATGTAAGCTTTCACGTTTGCTGGGAACCCTTCCATGTGGCGGCAAGCCAAAGATAGACCCTACGTGGTCCAAATTCGGTAAGATAGATGTCTATGAATATGTTCATCATGATATATTGAAATTATACCTTTTCACCATATAAAGACTTGGTGTTCGTAAGAACCGTGATATGTTCAAAACACAAAGTTTTTCATACCAATTTAGAATACCGAAATTATATTAATCAAAAAGTTTAGCCGAAAAATTTCGAAAATTTTATTTTTTTTCATGTAGCGACTTTTGCAAATAAGGCTTTATGTGGGGAGTGGGCAAAAAAGTGGACCGATTCAAACCATTTTCCACAACGATCGTTCTCGATCGCCGCCCGTAGATCGAACACAAAAACACATGGAGAGACAGTAGGCGGACCGACAGACAGACAGACAGACAGACAGACGAATAAACAAGCTGATATCGATTGATTCAAAAAATGATTTTGATAATAAAAGAACGGCCTCCTTGGCGTGACGTACGTCCGCACAAATTTAATATATCCAGCATCAGAAGTGGTGTATGTCATAAAAATAGCGTTACTTAAGCCACTGCAGTTCATAAATTAATAATCGAAATGACGTGAAAATGTGATCTTGTTTATTTGAGGGTTGATATATTCACAAAATAATATGGATTTGTTTTTTAAGTTTTTACCAGTGTGCTAGTACCAAGACTTACTAAGGGATGATATGTTCAAATCACTTTCAAGTTATTTAAAGAGTACAAGTTTGCCTCTAAACATTTGCATCTGCAGTTAACGACAGCTAATAATTTAAAAAAGACGTGAATCTTTTCTATATCAGTCATGGTTTAAAAAATTACAAAAATTAATCTTTTTTTTTTCAATGGTTTCTGCATGTGCCCGACCGCAAAAATTGTTGAACCGTTTACATGCAGTATTTGAAATTGAATGCAAATTTATTGGCAAAGCTTTGTATAAAAACGAAGGCGTAGGAAAACAAATGTAAAATAAAATGAAAAAATGAAGACCTATATGCTACTGCGTGTGCAACACAAGAGCAAGCACATGTCGTCAGTCATAGACACTGGTATCAAATTGATTTAATTGTCGCATAATTTTCATTGAAAAAGAGCCAGAAACAAAAAATAACTAAAACGGTAGAATAGCAATCGACTAAAGCGGACAAAGTCACTCAAATAGATCGGACTAGGTCATCTACACAAATGCAATACATTATTGCACACAGCGGTAGGTAACATATTTAGCATATTTTTGCCTGTAGACAGCAGAAAAAAATTGAATTCAATGCCAGCAGCGAAAGTTTAGGAGGAGGGAAAGAGAACAGAATATTACTCTGGAATTTAGTAATCACATGACGTGGGATTACTTTCAATTTAAGATAACCGAAGGGAAACGGGAATAGGGAATATTTTGTAGAAAAATTTTAAATAGTTT